CACACACACACACACACACACACACACACACACACACACACACACACCGTTTCCTGTTAGAGCTATGGCTTGCTCACTCTTTGAAGAGCCCTCCATTACTCCTGAGCCCACCTCTCAGCGTAGCTTCTGCTCAGAAAGATGCTTCTCTCAGACGCTGGGTCTCCTCCCTCAGAGCTGCACTTCAGTTATTTCCTCCTTGAAATTAAAGCTACGATTCGACTTGGCCTTGGGCACTGGTTTTGCCATTGTCCCTGCTTTAGACAAGTATGTTGATAGCTGCAGGGAAGCTCCTCCTCTCTGCACCTCGCTGGCTGTCCTGGCCTCCCTATGCCTCACTGACCTGGTCAACCATCAGCATCAACATAGCGGGAGCTCCTAGTACCATCAGAGGTCTAACTCCCTGTATCTTGGCAGATGGCACAGCAGACATGCTTTAGTCAAGTGTACATTTTCATCCTGTGCAGGATTTGAGTGCTATTCCCCCCCCCCCAATCCTTACCCTAGTAGCCGAGAAGAAAGGCTGAAAATCCTTCATACTCTTTTGTCCTCCTCTGAGCTAGTCCTAAATAGCCATGCTTCCTCTCTGCAGGCTCTGCCCCAGACCCCCCTAGTATAAGGTGTCCCACCCAGGAAAGTGCCTGCACCCTCCAGAAACTTATCCCAAGACTTGCTGTCCAACAGGCAACTCCAAAGAGAAGAGATGACACACCTTTCTGCCCCCAGCTATCATGCTAGCTCGTTGTGTGAGCTGGGCCAAGTCCCTGAACTTAGCACATTTCAGGCTCCTGGGTTGGGGCTATGTGGCTAATAAGCTCTCTCTTTGCTCTAAGAGAATATAACTTTATTTTAACAAATGTTTCCAGTATAAATGGCCCCCACAGTTTAAGGACATCTGAATCCACAGAAGAGAATGCCGTTATTCTATCAATAATAATTACTTATTGGTCCTAGTTGGAACTGTTTGCACTCAAACTTAAAAATATGCACGTGAATTAACTGGCATGTGAAGAGCTGATATTTGTGCTGTGTGTTGAGTGGCTTTGTGGCTTTGTAGAAGGGAATTCTCCTTTTGCTGCTGGATGGAAGGTACAACAAAGAAGGTAGGTACAAAGTAATGTGACATTAAAAAAAACAGAAGAATATAGATGTAGAAGTCCATTTTGAATGACCCGTATCTTATTGAAACACGTGGGAATCTATGTTGAGAATGAGAAAGTAGAATTTTCATGTAAGTGAAAAAGGTATCAAGAAGCATTCCAAAATTGAGAGCACTAGACCAATGGTTTATTAATATCTTGTAAGGCATACATTTAATATATGTATGTAACACAATGCAAAATACACTTAACGTATTTTATAGCACACACAATAAGAGAGAAGAGCAAAATCAGTCCATGTATTAGAGACTCCAATGATAGCAATACAATTTCTCTAGACCATATGTTTTCACACATAAAACATTAAGTTAGTAATAAATTCTTTTACTTTTTAAGCCACCCAACTAGCACACAAAATTTTAAGCTCTACAAAAGTAAATCACTTTCTCACATCAAAAATCTAACAAAATCTCAATTTTTTAATTTCCAGCAGTATCTACTACAACTGTTTTTAACAGTCTCTGCTTTAAATCTTTCTGGAACATTCACCTTGCACCCCATATATTCTAACCAGGCTTCCAGATTTAACCCAACTCTTTCCTTTCTGTGTAAGGTGGATATTCGCCACTCACTCAGTGATTTCCATGGACAGCCATGACTGCTGAGGCCAGCAAAAAAGCCTACAGTGCTGGGCTCACCTTAGAGTGAGAGACACATGTCTCCCAATGCCAAAAGTTTCACATGTCTAATGGAGAAATACCTTTCACCCTATTGATATGCTTCTCCCATATGCTTCTCTCTATATACAAATGTCCTCAAGTCAAAACTGCCTTCCTTCCAGGTCTCTCTCCTTTTCCTGCTCTCTGCCTTCCATTTTAGTTCACTGCTAAATAACTCATCTAACAATTAATAGTAGCAATTAATAGTAAAGTAGTAATAGCCACACATATACTATTAAGTCTGTGCCAAGAACTGTTGTACTTTATTTATATTTATTTAGTTAGTTCCCCTGTGAAGTAGGTACAATTACTATAAATTCTAAATTTACAGATGAGGAAATGGAGGCGCAGATTGGTTCAAAAGGCTCCAGGGGTCCCCGAAGTAAGTAGCAAGCCCAGGATTCGAACTCAAGTGTCTTGACTGTATGGCTCATGCTCAAACACCACGCCATGCTGCCTCCACGTTGGAGGCATTTTAAATATGTCATTTTTTTTTTTACAAATCAAGTCAGTAACTATCATATTTTGCTGTGGCTAATGGATAATAGTGACTAATGGCTAATATGGATGATATGATCTGGCACCTGTCTTATCTATAAACATTCCTGTTAAATCAACAAATGTTTTAGACCATTTTTGAAAAACCCAGAGAATTATCTTAATTCAAATGTGTGCCTCTCATGAAAGATAAAACAGTTTGGGGAAGTTCCCTCCAAATAGGCCCAATTAAGCAAGTCCTGTGCAGTGCTTCAGGGGGGTCCCGACAACTGTGGGTCTGTAGCTGTGGCCGGGACACATTAAACGTGTCCTGAGGCTGAGGCCCTGTCACACCTCGGTCCCCGATGCACACAGCCCCACCAGCTCTCCACCACATCCCAGGCACTATCCATGGTGCTTAGAGGTAGGCTGCACTGTGGGAGTGTGAAGGTACTGTTCCCGCTATTACATCACCTACTGGATCATAGAAAATGCCACTTCATGAACTTACAATCCTTTAATTCAATCAATAGCATTAAAAACGTAAAGATGTGCCCTTTTTATAAGGCATATCAGCCTCACAGTTGCTGAACGTGGATTGAGAATGAGCACTGGGGCCATTTATTGAGGAGGGAGAAACAGGAGATGCATTTCTTTGGAATCCCAGGTTCCTCTGGGAGCACATGACCAAGGCTCAGTCTTCAGTCTTACCCCTGGCAACATAATGACGACTGTCATCTTCAAACTCTAAGTAGGATTTTCAGAGAGGTAAATATTTTTAATAGTGCCCTTTGTTAAAAACAGGCTCATCCACTCCGGGCCCAGAGTGCCAAGAGTTCTTTCTTATATTCAGCTTTCCTAATGGTCAGGACCGCGAAAGAACAGGTAAGACTTCAGATTCAGCTCCGCATGGCTTGACCATTTTTGCAGGCATCAGATAAAGAAGATTTTTCCAGAACCTTGAGTTATACGACGGAGGTTTATCAGCATTCCATTTCAGAACTCTGTGAGATTTCAAAAGCTGTAGTGATTCGGGGAAGAATGTGAAGTCACTGACAGGTGTAAATTCAATTAAGATGATTTTAATTTTCCTTTCTACCAGCGCTTCATGGAGTCCACTTTCAAGTTCGTACCTGACTTCATTAGACATGTAGCTTTTACTTAGGACGATGATCAGTCTTCGACTTTTTTCTATCAATGAGTGGATTTCATCAACAACAGCTAAAAATGCAAGATGTGGCACAGTAATTAAAGAGAACTAATTAAAAATTAAAGAAGGAAGACAGGAGATGAAGGTCTACTTTTGTATTATTTAACTCTACTTCACTAATAATTTTTCTCAAGACAAACCACTTATTCTCAACTTTATACACCTGTTAAAAACAATTATCTAAAACAAAAAATCATCTAGGTGACAGCAATAACCAACACTTGACCCTTACTCTGTGCCAAACCCTCTTCTAGATGTTTTATATATATCAACTCATTAAAGCATCACAATGACCCTATGAAGAAAGCATCATTATCACCACCATTTTACAGATGAGGAAGCCGAAGTACAGAGTGGTTAGGTAACTTGCCCAGAGTCACACAGCCAGTAAATGGCAGCATCAGAATCAGGACCTAAGCAGTCTGCTTCCAGAGTCCCATGATGCTATCTTGCCTCTCCGCAGGCAGGGAGGAGCACACTGAAATCTGAATTTAAAGATAAAAATATATCTATCCCACCATGATACCAGACCAGAAGTTGACAAACTTTCTGTAAAGGGCCAGGGAGGGACGATTTCCGGCGTTGTGTTACCCATCTCTGCTATTTAGCTCAAAAGCAAACACAGACAATACACAAACTAAAGAGTGCATCATCACTGTGTTTCAACAAGGCTGATAGCCTGGATTTGACCCATGGGTGATCGATTGGCAATTTCTGGTCTAGACCTCTACCCCTTCTCCAATAGAGGTTTTGATCCCAACTATTTACAATTAAATATACAAACAGTCTTTCTTTTCATTTGAGAACTAAGAAGAAATCTATTTTTATTAATTAATTAGTATTTGTTTATGAAAAAGTAGTAGTATTTTCTCCTTCTAACTGGTAGCATTTTCCCTTTCTCATTTGTAATCTAGGAGGGGGAAAAAACACAGCTATTCCTTATTTACTGCTATGTCTTCAGTGCCCAGCTCAGAATTCGGCCCGAGGATGGCACTCAGTATATGTTGGCTGAGTGAATGATGGTGGCAGTAGAAACACTTATATTGCATCCTTGGTAATGCATCAGCACCCAAACTATTCTGACACCAGATTTCAAATATTTGCGCTGGAAAATTTCAGAGAAAATATGGACGTGTTCCTAAATTTCTTGGCTTTGAACTGGAATTTGCTTCAATATATGTTTTGTGGTCATTTGTATTCAGATACTAATAAAAAACTGAATTGCATCACTAAAATCCGACACAAATCATCAATCTTCCTTTATTTTTCCTTTTCCGACTCTCCTAGCCTTTACTGTAATTTTCACACCAGTGTCAACCCAATAAAGAACAAGTATTTTCCGGTAAGAATGAACTGTGTTTATAGTCCAGAGGATCACGTATTAAATTAGGAACCGGTCCTGCTGTACAAAATATTACCAAGAAGGGTGTTCTTACTGTGGGGCATTTCTAGATAAATGCCTCAGGACGATGCGAATTCTGGGTCTGGTTCTGAAAGTGGAATGCCCTTTCCCCAAAGGTTCAGAGAACTAGGAAGGGCAATGAAGAGTCTGGGCCCCAGGGAGGCCACTCTCAGAAGCAGTGTAGTTGGCTTGTTTTCTCACTATTGATTATATTGAGTTACCTGGTTATTTCTGGTTTGGAGGATCATGTTCATTTGTTTTTTAAGCAAAACAGGATTGTCTTTTGCAAGGCTACACTATTTGGCTTTTAAAAAGAAAATCTTTCTACTAGTTTTCTATCTGGTATTCCCTTTCTTACCTCCTCCAGGCACGACATCCCTTTCAAATATGCATAATTTATACCCAAAGTGTTTCTCCAACACCCCGGGCAAAATCTCCACGGCAAAGGTGTGCTCCTCTCCATTCTCGGGTCCACATTCTTTTAGGTAAGACACAAAAGCATCATATGTCTTTCCATCTAGGAAATAAGGTTTACTCTTTTAATTACAGTGCAAATAAAACTTTAAGTACAAATTTGAGTGAAAGTCACAAAAAATGGGAGTGGAACCATTGTAAAAGAAAAAATTAAGTAGAGCATCCTCCCAACCAAACTCACCAAATTGTACCCATTAAATATGTGCAGTTGCTTGTATATTGACTAGAGCTCAATGAAGTCGTTCAAAAAAAGAATACAGAAAATATTTTTGCCAGAAAACCAATTTAAAAATAGAACAAGAATGTTTAAACTAGGTAACTTGCAAGGTCCGTCAAATATTTTTTGGTTCTGTGGTTCTTTTTAGGCATTATTCTTTATCGCTGATTTTTTAAGTTGTCAAAAACAAGAAATAAATTCAATTATTATTAAAGACAAACAAAAAATAGCCTCCACAAACCTCCCAAATGCTAATCAAGCAACCAATTAGCAAATTGTTTTTTAAGCATGTATGTTAAGACTCTCACTGTTTGACACCATAGAGGGATGGAGAGAAATAGGAGATATGAATCCAGAAACTAAAGGAATTTAAAGGCAATAAAAGGCACCAAGGAGCCCCACTATGTCCTCGTTCCAGGAGAGGAAAGTAAATGTCACCTTGGCTTTCTCATATCAGCTAATTCTACCACGATCCTAAAATGTCTACCCTCAAAATGACCCATTGGAAGGCAAAGGCAGAAACAAAGCTGAGCGTTTACACTGGCAAGCGGGAAGAAACAATAGAAGTGATTTAAGCACTATGCTATTGTAACACCTGCTGTGATATTTAAAAATATTATATGTTCTTAGATGCCAATATGAAAACTTCCTGTCCGTTGAAAGGTTTTCATTGATAATAACATCTCTCCTATTTAATTCCTGATAATGAAGCAGTGTCCCGGAGGCTAACGGGACAAAGTCAAAACAAAAGAGTTACCTAAATAACAAAGACCACTGTGGGTCTGCAGCTGCAGTTTGTAGTTACCCACTATCTGGGTAACTACAAAATTATATACACCACCCTCTTCTATCTTCATCCAACCTATCTGAGAAGACAAAGCCGGCAAATGCAACGACTGAAAACGTTTACAAATAACACGTTAGCAGATGCGAGACAGTATAACAAAACAAGTAAAACAAACAGAATCAGCTTGGTCAGAGCCTAAAGAGTGATCTCTAGGGGACATGCTTTCTGAGAAAAGGAAATTTTGAGTCAGGTCCTGAATAATACAATTGACGCTAACTGGGACTGGTAGAGGAAGAAGGGGAAGTGGGCGGGGAATGGTCTCTCCCTGTTCCATGACAATTGGTTAGATGGTACAGGGGTTGGATTTATGCTTGCGTATAGTATTGGGATTATGAATTTGCTACTGAGTTGAAAACTAAATATAATTGGATCCTTTATTAAAATCTAATAGGACAAAACCATTTTAGGTCCATGTTCTTTGTGGTGCATATCACCTATGCTCAACAATTCAGCCTAGTATCTTCAGTGGCATCCAGGTTCACAAAACAACTCTTTTTGTTCCTGGCAAAGCTTCTTCAATTCTACTTAGGGCATTCAGGTTCAGCAGTTCAAGTCCGAACCTATTGTTGATGGAAAGCAACTGCTTTGCAGAACTGCATGCATATAAAAGCAAGGACATTTTGGTAAAACCTGCAGAATTCACATGCATATCGAAGGTAGGTAAAGTTGGTAAAAACAGAACCAGTTCCTAGTTTACTCAGAAAATGGGTGCCCCAAGTAATTCTGTTAGATTGCTGTGAAATAGAACTATTTAATAGTGTAAGAGCTACAGCTTGCACTTGTAATCATTATGTCAGTATTAGAATAGGCACCAAGATGTAAGAAATAAATAAATACACTTTTTTAAAAGGTACCTTTTTTTGTAATCATGATGTTACTATTGCAATAAACCAGGAAAACAATTCAGTTAAGTTTATATGGTGATATACAAGTAATACAACTTTACTCTTAGCCATGGAAAATGAAAAAATGGTTTTTCAGCTATCGATCGCTTTCAAATACCTAATTTCAAGCAATTCTCTTCTTGGTTTAGCAAATCTTGTAATTTATATTACAATTTCTTTTAAACCCAGGTAATTGAATGGCTTGCTGGTTTTGATAACTGACAAAGTGAAGTGTTTAAAATAAGGTATTTGGAAGCTAATAATAATGATTTTGGGTTCTGTATAAACGAAACCCTCACGTGAATGTATATTTGGGACTTTAAGAAGTCAGGCTCATGCCTCTCAAACTGTGTTAGGCAAATGATCATGTTTTCATTTCATTTGACTGGTTTGGGTTGATTGCTTTCTTTCATTTCCAATCCTTCAAAGACCAATACTGAAAACATTCTTGGATATTGCATCAGTATCAAATTGCTATGAAAGTTTTAGTTTTTGTACTTATGTCTCTATTTCTGTCTTTTTCACGACTGATCACTGTCATGGGTCATACTTTTAAAAGAGCTGATGTACAGCCCATCTATAAATGTTTCTATGCACTGCCACACTGGGAGGCAGGAAGTGCGAACTGAAAAAATTATCTGTGAAATTGGGTCAAACACAACAGAAAGGGGGAAAAAATCTTCGTTGAAGATCAGAAAGATATTAGTGAATGCCCATTTTGAGATATGTTCTGGTCCATGTAAGTAGAGACCTGTTCAAAAGGTACCAAAAATAGATCTCCCAGTTGTAGCATTTCTCTCCATCACCAAAATTGCATACACACACAGGCTCAAAGCTGAAGTAATTAGCTTTGTTAATTTGATATTATTAACTAAAAGCTGTAAATGTGAATCATGAATCTAGAAAAATCTCACAGGGACAACATGAGACTTCTTTCATAACTTGAGGTCAGGAGGGTCTTTCTACTTGTGACCACAAATCTAGAAACCATAAAAGAATAAACTGGAGTACATTAAAAAAACCTTCCATAATGATAAAAATGTACACCTGAAACTAATATAACACTGTGTCAATTATACTTTAGGAATAATAAAAAATATCTTCCACATATCACACTACTATAAGCAAAGTCAAAAGACAAATTACAATCTGGGAACAATATTTCCATTTCATATTATAGACAGGAGGCTAACCTCCTTAAAATATAAGTAGCTCCTAGAAAGGTTTAAACAAGAAAAAAAGGCCAACAACCCAACAGAAAAATGGCAAAGGGCATGAATGAGTACTTTGAGAAAGTAAATACAAATGAGCCTTAAACAAATGAAAAATTATGCTCTTGCATAGTAAGTGAAATGCAAATGAAAACTACACTGAGATGTAACTTTTTACCTATCAGATTGGCACATGGCCAAAAGGATGTGGGCAAGGCCATGGGAAAAAAGTTACCCCCATTCTTTGAAGGTGGTAGGAGTATGGTAGTAGGCAGGGCAAATTGGCAATGTCTATCCAATTAACAACTGTATCTACCCTTTACTATTGCTAGCAATTCCACTTTGGGGAATTTTTCCTGCACACAGATGAAACAATGACTCTACAAAACTCTCTGTCACATCATTTCTGTAATAACAAAAGGTTGTGAATAACCCAAGATGTGACCAAACAAACAGGGATACATCTGCAGACATAAAACTCTGCACAATTCTAACAAATAGGAGGCTTTATCAACTGATACCAAAGTGCATCCAAAGCATAGCAAAGCAAAGTTCAGAATAGTGTACATAATTTGCCCAGATCTGTCTTTAAGACAGGTGTGGGATTTGATCCTATATTCATATTTGTTTGGATATACTATCAATGGCAGACGAAGTGGGAAACACAGACATGGGACAGGCTGACAGGGCGATTTTCTACTCTTGGACTTTCTGCATTTTGAACTGTGTGCCTTACACACACACACACACACACACACAAAGCAAGTGCAATGGATTAGACTGATTTTTTAAATTCAGGAATTATCTTTTTTTATTAAACTGTAGTTGACACAATTCAGTAATTGTCTTGAAACTTGAGGACTTCTTCAAATTACCTTTAAAAATAGAGAAACGGAGACACAGGGTCACCAGATAGAGAAAAACACAGATCTAGGAAGCTAGAACCCAGGTCACTTGGCTTCTAGTTCAGGGTTCTTGCAGATACATCAGGTTGCCTCCTTTGTCAGGTTAAAATAATGAACCATAATACAATTCAATTCTATTTAAATGAAGTTTACTGAATTACGCACATTATATAAGGTGCCCAGATAGTGTGTGAATAACGATAGCCCCTGGGCACAAGCATCTCACAGTGCATTTAGAAAGACATGACATACATGTATAAAACAATTAACAATTGTTTGGCAAACAGTTTCTGGCAACATACAAGTAAGTACAAAAAGGAAAGATGATACTAGACAATGTTCAAATCAATTTTTCCGATGGAAAACCTCTACCACACCTTAAGACAACAATATAATCAAAATGAAATGAAATGAAGATTAGTGTTTCTTTATTTGGTTTCTTAATGAAGCCATAAGATAAGAAACCCCAGTATTACGATATTCGTTACCTGTTAACGTTTCATCTTTTCCCATGAAATGTCTATAAAATAGGGCCAAGTCAACTCTATAAATGACACCCATAATCACTAGGAACACAGCTACCACTGAGATCAAAACAGCTATGATCATTCCTCTGGTGAAGACGTAGCCTGGGATATCAACCATCTCTTCTAGAAAGAAAAAGACAACAGGAATAATAAGTGAAAGACAGTTTACCAGTGTCTTCCACCATCACACCACAGTTGTCAGTTTTTACGCTGACCACTGATCCAGTTGTCAACCCAACACATCCTATCAACTTAGTCCACATTCTGCCGTTAGTCCAGAGTACTGATCTTTCTACTCCAATTTTTAAAGAATAAAAATGTGTACAAGCATATTCAGAGACCTGACCTGAAAGCATTGTGATATAGCCTGTCCCAACTTGGGGAAGGTGAGCCTCTAGGACAGTAAGATATCAGGGTGAAATGCAGAGGGACCCAAACCTACATCTCAGCTAGTATGCTGTGAACATAAATGAATTGCATAGTCTTGAGAGAGCAAGCACTGAACTGAGATCATCTGGGCTCCCCGCCTGGCTCCATCACTTAGTCTGAGTCCTAAGGAAAGTCACTGATGCCCTTAACTCTTAGTATCTTCATCCATAATATGAAGCCACTTCTGAGCAGCTTCTGGGTCAATGGACCTGGGTTGTACCGTGTTGGCAGAGGAAGGAGGGGGATGGCTCCGGAATGTTCCATCAGGTAGGCAGTGCAAAACTTTAGGAGTCTACTGATGTGAGCCATCAACTGTCTACCTGCCAGGTCCAGGGACTGGTTCAAGGAAGGGAGGCCTCAGTTCATCTTTGTTGAATGAATGACCACACCCAAGGGCCCCCTGTGCCCAGTGCCCAGCTAAGGGAAGCTGGAGGCAACAGTACACCCAGTATCATTGGCCTCATCCTACACTGAGCTGCAAGCTTGCCTACGATCATTGTGGGTGTGCCGGAGCTGCCCTGCCTGCCTCCCCCACAACACCCAGCCACACATCTGTCTCCAGGCTGCATCTGCTTCCCTGTCCGGAGCCCCTGGTTTCTACCTGGGTCTGCAATATGATTGAGAGCAAAAGATAAGAGTTTGTGTTTTCATTCTTTGCACAAAATCAATGCACAGGCAACTCCAGCTGGGGACTGAGTCCCAGTTTAGCCTGAATGCCTGACACAAGGTCAACAATTTCACCTCTCGGGAACTTGCTTCCTGGGCTGTAAAATGAGGGAGTGGTGATCTTTGAGGGGTGTCTCAGCAGCAACATTCTAAGCTTCCACAAACTTCCACAATAAAACTTTCTCATACCTTTTTTCAACAAGACAAAGTTCATGGTGTCTGTGCCTCCCTCGCTGGCCACAGCACAACTATATGAAAACTTAAGATTTTTTTCATTAATATTCTCAATTCTCAGTATTATTGATGCATACAATTTGCCATCTGGAGTCCTGTAAAAGAGGAAATAATTCAGTGATAGGCGTTGGTCATTACCAGCAACATTACCCACGAGAGAGGAATTCATACGTGCAAATACCCAAGAGCAGTGGGTCTGTTGGCTCTATGGAACCTTCCTTTTCTGACGAGGACTCAGAGACTGGGCCACCAAGAATCTCGGCTCCTCCAGGGAGCATCAGGGCGGGCAGAAACAGCCCTCCTGAGACCACCTGGGGAACGATGTTGTGCACTGCCCAGAATGAAAATGCTGGAAGGTAATGATGCTGACTTGAAAACACAAGAAAATATTCTCTCAGTTATTTCCCCCTATTTCTCTTCTCCTAACTACTTAGTTTTCCTCCCACGGGGAGGTCTCCACTGATCGTGACAAGGCTGCAAAAGGGTTTGGAATAAATACAGATTCTTATCAGGTTTCTCCATGCAATCCTAAAGATCACTTTTATTTGTTCAGCATTGAAAATAAACTTAAGAATGACACTATTCGGAGCACCTGGGTGGCTAAGTCAGTTAAGTGTCTGACTCTTGACTTTGGCTCAGGTCATGATCTCAGGGTCCTGGGATAGAGCCTTGTGTCGGGCTCCACGCTCGGTGTGGAGTCTGCTTGAGATTCTCTCCCTCTCCCTCTGCTCCTCCCCCTGCTTGCATGTTCTCTCTCTAAAATAAATAAATAAATCTTTTAAAAATAAAAAAGAATGACACTATTCTCAGACGCACCCATAAGGACATGAGAAATACCAATTAAGCCATTCAGGGAGTGTCAGAAAATGACTTAGACAAACACCAGCAGCAAGTTGTCTTTCTCTTCTTAAGAGATTCACGTTGTGCTATCGTTGATGCAAGGCAACTGCCCATGACATCAGCTTCCCCACCAATGACAACCTGTGAAAGCCCTCGCCAGGTGGGGTCACTCACCTGCCACAGCAGGTGTCTCTAGTACTCGGGACACGGCACCCACTGTAGCCTCCAATTGTCTCAAATACATTTTAGAACATAATTCTGCACAGAAGTCACCAAACCAGAAATATCAACTATTTAAGATCAGTGAAAGACCCCGAAAGTAAGGCACAAAAGGTCAGTGAGGAGCCAAAACAGGTGACGGAAAAAGCTCATGCACCTAATTCTAAAGAAAGACCACCTTACTCCCCTAGCTTAGCTTAAGCTCCATTTCAAATAGTTTGGCAAGTTGGTCTTCTGTCCCCCCAAAGATTAGCAATAGATCACAAGAAGGGGGACATGCAGAACTCGAGTGAAGGTCTGATGCTGAGGATAAGACACAATGGCAAGACATGTATTTCAGCTGGACCAGCATTCACACGCCCACTACCGGGCGAGGCCACAGACCTTGCACCATTAGAAGCTCGCAGGCAAGTGTCAGCAAGAATTGAGAGCTGCCTGTGGGATGACAAGGAATGTTTTGAAGTATAAAAGGCAGAAAAAAACCTCAAAAGTGCAGCCAAGGTGACAGACACCTTGGGATCACTACTCACTAAAACCTGAGTGTATCAGGACATTACTAAGTAGAGTAATGACCCGAAGTCATTCAGAAACACCTAATGACCACAGGCTTGGCATGTTTTAATAAGTGTGACCATTCCTTACTGGAAGAACATAGGCTATGTAAGTACTAATACACAAGTGATTTGAAACTTTTTGCACCAAAAGCTGCCTCCTAGATACTTACATCTAACCAATGCCCTCTTTGTGTTTTTTTTTTTTTAATTTCTTTTACCTGTTCTTACTGTGTTTCTAATTTCCATTAATGGACTCTTGACAGCAAAATGCTGCAATAATAACTATGTTCAATGTCAATCTGCCAACAGTGAATGTCACAGGGTAGGTGACATGTGTACATTAGTGTTTCCTTGAGACAAAACTTACATCTGACAAGCTTTGGAGACTCTTATATGATTACTAATCTTATAAGATGCTTAAGTAAAATCCCCATCCCCTTCAGATCCTGACTGACCAAAAGCTACTTTTGTAAGATGATGCGAAAAAGTCCCACTGACCTTCTTTTTCTAGCTTAGATCTTGGCAATAGATTTCTGCATAATCCGTCAACCTAGAGCATGGTAATTATAAGTATAAAATATGTAAATTATAATTAAAATTTAAACTTAAACATCCAGTCATTGATTCAGGACTCTGGGGTTTTTTTTGTTTGTTTGTTTGTTTTTGCAATTGCACTACTAGGTATTTATCCAAAGGATACAAACATACTGATTCGAAGGGGCACATGCACCCCAATGTTTATAGCAGCAATGTCCATAATAGCCAAACTATGGAAAGAGCCCAGATGTCCAGGACTCTGGTGTTTTTTTATGTCATGTATCTACAACAAAAGGTGATTTGTATATATTGTGACAAATAATGTATCACATATACATACCTAGTTCTTGTTATGTTCTCTTCATGTACATTAGGTTCCTTTCCATTTTCTTCCCACACGTTCCAATAAACTGCATCCTTTTCATTCACCAAAGCAGAGCAGTTGAGTTCTACATCTTTTCCTACATAAAAGTTGATAACCAATGTTCTGATCTTAGAAACTCAGATTTCCCAAAGGTATAAAATGAATATAATCACTATATGTTAACCTAATATATAAAGATAATATAGTGCTATGTTCCAGAAACAAAACAGATATGCCTTATTTTTAAATTTAAAAAAATGTATAAAGCAGAGAAATTAGGTAGCAACTATAAGCCATCACCAAAATATGAACTGGTTTCTCTTCAAATGTTTATGTTTAAATCAATTATTAAAACTTAGAGTGGCCAGTGGACTTTCTTTTCAACATACAATTTAGTAGGGACTGTCAGACCAACACTCCCACGGCAACTTCTAGAAAAACAAAATGGGTAAGTCACACACAAAAAATGAAATTAGCTAAAAAGTACAGACCCCCAAGTGCAGAGAAAACAAAGAGAAACAGTGGAGCTGAAAACACCGTCAGGAAAACGCCCTTCGGGGGTTGGGGGGGAGCTGAGATAGCCAGCCGTCTTATTCTTGGGAGAAATTTGTTTTGGTTTGCACAGCGTAGAGGGAATCTCATAGAGAAAAAGAGAGCCCAGTGGAAATTCTGACAGCCACACGGGCTTACAGGATGACTGCTGAGGAGGCTGTGAAGGCTGACCGGTTTCTCCTACAGTCTCATAGTACTTAGGAGAGAAAACCCCCACAGAGGAAACGATGTACAACAAACACAGGCCTGAAGTCCCCGTGCCCCTCCCCCGCCCACCTTAACCACACTGCAAGAAATCCCAGGGGAAAGTTTTCAGACTCGTGAAAAATTATCCCAGATGAAAGCAAGCAACTACAGGAACAAATGAAGAGCACAAGAAAATACAAATATTTGAGTAAACATGAAAGACTGTGGGTTATTTAAAGCAATAATAATGTGATCTACTGTGAGTTTTAGCACATCTGCAAGAGAGAAATACATAAAATAACAGCACAACCTGAGGTAGGAGGGACAAATGAAATGAACTGTTGCAAGGTCCTCCCATGCTGTGAAGTTATGAATGTGCTGAGATGTACCTTTGTCTTATTGCAGTCAGACAAGGATACATATTGTAATCTCTAGAACTACTAACGAAGGATACAAAAAGGTCTAACACAAAAGAAAACAAAGCAGATTAAATAAAGAAAATACTTTATGAATCCAAAAGGAAGGGAGGAATAAAAGGACCAAAGAACACATAAACCAACTAAAAAACAGGTAGCAAGATGAGAGGCTTCACACCACCTCCATCCATAATTCATGAAATGCAAGTGGATTACACACTATACAGACTGGATTTCAAAAAAGATCCAAATATATGCCATCTATGTGAGATACATTTTATGTGTATTTGATTTACAAAGAAATGCTAAAAGTAAAAAGATGTAAAAGAAAAAAAGAGAGAGAGAAAGCCTGTCAGTCTCAAACAAAAGAAAACCTATATGTCTATCCATTATCAGAGAAAGTAGGCACTCAGGAAAGAAGTATGATAGATAGAGAGAAATTTTATAATGATAAAGTATCAATTCAACAGGCATCAGTTTGTATATGCCCATGAGATAACCTCGGCATATATAATGCAAGGATTGACGGAACTAAAGGGTACAGAGATAAATTACCATTGTAGTTGGAGATGTTAACATCTCTTGGTAACAGATAAAGAAAACACACAAAAGCTTGGTTAAAATACAGATGATCTGAATAATACCATTAGCTAACTTCACATAATTGATATTTACAGAATGATAAAACCAAAACCTGCAGAATGCATATTTGTTTCAGACGCACTTGGAACATTCATCAGAGACACACCACATTCTGGTCCTGAAGCAAGTTACTCCAAACTGCATATGACAGAAATGATACAGTGTATAATCTTGGACCAGAATGGAACTTAACTATATATCAATAACAGCAACAACAACAAAAAACAACTAGAAAATCCTCCAAAGATTTGGAAATTAAGAAGAAAAAATAATCCATAGAAGAAAGAAGAAATCACAAGGGAAGTTTTTTTTTTTTTATGTTTGAACCCAATAGTAATGAAAATATGGCATACCCGTATTTGTTGGAAACAACTCAAGTCATGATTAGAGGGAACTTTAGAGTTTAAAATGCATGTGCTACAAGAGAGGTTGACTGAAATTAATTCTCTATGTCTCCATGTCGACAAATGAAAAATGAGGTGCAAATTAAGCCCAAAATGAGAAGAAAGAAATAAGAGAGCTAAGTTCAGAAACCAATAAAAAGCAGGCAAACAACAACTACAAATCGCAAAGTATCCGAGCTGTGTTGGGCAGATGTGGTCCCACAAATGATTGTGACAGATGCTGGCCCAAAGGTGTGGGCTTAGGAAACAGTGAACAGCAACTTGGACCCCAGCTTTGCCACTTTTTATTGATTTAACTTTAGACAAATTACTGAACCCTTTCTCCTGGGCTTTGGTCATTTAATCCACAAGATGGGAATAATACCCCTTGGAGTTGTTCGGAAGATTTAATTCAAGAATATATTTCAATCACCTAATATAAAACATGGTGTAGCATATGTGAATTTCTTCTTTTCCTTCCTTCCTTCCCTTTTGGAAAGGAATTACTTATGCAACTGGATGCACTGATTTCATCAAGCCCTGTCTAGGCAAATCTTAAATGTACAGTCAGTTAAGTCCATTGAGTCAAAGCCCATTGATTCATCAATCAAATATTCAGACCACAGAATAAGTCTGAATCATTCCTCCAGAGTGTTCTCTCAGAGTTTTCATATTTATTTATTTATTAAAGATTTTTATTTATTTATTTGATAGAGAGAGACACAGCGAGAGAGGGAACACAAGAGCAGGGGAGTGGGAGAGGGAGAAGCAGGCTTCCCGCGGAGCAGGGATCCCGACATGGGGCTCGATCCCAGGACCCTGGGATCATGAACTGAGTCGAAGGCAGACGCTTAACGACTGAGCCAGGCGCCCCTAGAGTTTTCATATTTAAAAGTGGCCAAAAGACTATCACAGAAAAGCCACAGCAGGGTGACCAAAACCCTATGTATAATGTTTTCAACAGACCATTCGTTTTCACCAGCCTACAAATGGCAACATTCAAACAATGATAGGCTTTTCTTCACTAAGCCTGGCACGTGTGATGCACGCACAATATGGATCGATCATTGAGTCAGATTTAGCCTTGGAAGACTCAGTTTTACCCCCATTCCTAAATGCAGAGTATATGTATGTCAAAATATACCTAATTCCACCTTCACATAGTTAAGCTTTGGTCCAAGAAGAACAGGAATTATTTTGCTGCGATCTAAAAGTGAAAGAAGAAAAGAAAAACGAGTCAGCATTGCACTGAGCTTCTCTAAGACAAGTATTTGTAGTAACACGCTTATACCATGTGACAAAGATCCTAATAGTCATCACTTTACACTTACTTCTGCCGTATTTTCATTAATTAATGGTTGCAGCTGATAGTGTTTGTCGTTTCGCTTTCCGTCAACTCAAAGCTAATATAACTGGAGAAAACACACTGAATTGGGTTTCCCTCAGCTCAAATCTGTGGCTTCTGCAGCTAAACGCCAGAGGAAAATGTCCATCCAGGCGGACAAACCCACCTGCAGGACTTAGCGGGAAAGTCCCCGGGAAATGCCTTTCTGCTCTGCCTTTATTCCTCCTGTCTGCTCTCATCAACTCCTCACAGACAGATTTATTGGGGACAGGGACTCTACTCTGTGCAGTAGGCAAGGCACTCGCTCTCAGGTGTCGACCCTTCCCACGCAAACAGTGAGGGAAACACGCCTTCAATTTTGTGCTCTGGATGCCTCGCTTGCCTCACCTTAGTCCTGGCCCTGCAGGGATGTCCACACCTGCGGGCTCAGCTCTGCTTCTGTTCGAGTGACTTCTGACCCTGACTAGAGGTACCTAATACTCTCGGCCTCAGCTTCCCTCTGAATGCTGTCATACGACCTAGGGAGCTAATAACTGCTGAATACGGAGAGCACATATTGAACCTGCTATGTTGTCAAGTTCTTGTCAGTCCAAAGATCAGCACTGGCAACTTTCTTCATGACCTAGACTCTCCCTTCTGGTACAGCCAGTGCTTCTGGGGCATTTACAAGTAATGTACAGAGCAGTCATTCCCGATGCTCAGCAAACTCCTGGGGCTTACTGGTGCTCAGCAAACACGATGTATATGCAGAAGGAGTGAAGGGAGCCTAAGGGGCTCTCCGGCACCAACCCTACCTAAGCCCTCTCGGGAAGTGTGATGCTGCAGAGTGAAGGGTAGAGAAACGAGTGGTGAATGTGTGGGTAGGAACTGGAGGATGAAACTTGCAAAGTGAAACTCCAAGCGAGTCAGATTTGGCTCTTCTGGGATTCAGACTCTCTGGGCACGTGTGGAATGAATACAGGCAGACAGCAGGACCTGGGATGCCACCAGAGAAAGTAGGAACTCTCAGGTCTTGAGAATATTGAGGGACATGAACTGATTCCAGGACAAAGGGGTGATTTTGTAGAAAATTGCTATTGCTTATCTTTCTCTGGATCCGTCTCCTCCTCCCCCCCGCCCGCCCCGCCATCAGGAATGTCAGTGGGAGCCCTAGGGGAGGGGTGGTGTAAAAGAATATCTTTAAGACAGTATGCCATCTACTAAAACTTGAAGTATATCATTGAAATCCCAGAGCACCCTGTCCCCGGCATGTCCTCCTGCCCATCTCGTGTTCAGCCTCTAAACTTAGCTCGGAGTCTCCAGACTCTGATCTTCCTCTGGACTCTCTCTGCACCCTTAACACCTCACAGATGAATCCAGTTTCATATACTAGGGTACTCCTATGTGGATTATCACCTCTCCTGCCTATAATCAAATTTCTCTAGTACGTTACACACTTTATTTCCTATTTCCCTGCCTCTTTTACCTCCTGATGCTCAGTAGTTTATTGAATTATAGACACTTTGAAGAATATCTGTTGAGTGAAAGCATATGCTAAACAAGAGATTCCTCAAATTACTCAAACATGAAATAAGAATGCTGGCTCATGGGAGGCTCACCTATATAAAGGTCATTTACTTCCCCCCCCGCTGAAAATAATCTTTCCAATGTGGTGAATGATGCCCAAACGATTTGACCCTTATATTTGAGCGAGCAATGTGGTCACAACTCCAAGTTAAGCTGCCTTTGGATTCCTGCATTACAAAGAAAACTCATTTTACAAAGATACATTTGCTTCTTTCCCATTCTAAAATTTCTCTTACCTCCAACTATTGTTACATTGAAGGTTTTGGTGACATTAAATAGTTTTCCATTATGATGAATGAAAAACACACAGGTGTAATATCCCTGATCTCTAAACTCCGCATTCTTCTGTAAAACTGGGTTTTTATTGTTCTCCATCTCTTCACAGTTCTGTTTTGCAAAAAAAAAAAAAAGGAAAAAAGCAAGTTAAAATATTTTAAGTAAAAGCAGTATCATGTTATATTGATTCAAATTTATAAAAGATTTTTATTTAAAAAAGGGGGAAACTGAAAACTAGCAATAACTGAGTCGATGTCCCAGGGATCTGGTACTGCCTCTGTGGCAACAATGAAACATAGTCCCATTGCTGTTATTATTGTTGTTATTAATACATGCTGGGAAATAGAATATAGGGGGTGCTGTAGCTGCTCCTGTCATTTTCTTTTAATCTCTCTCTTTTACACATAAAGGGGGGGAGGGGTAAAGACAAAGGGAGAGGGAGAAGGGAAGGAGGGGTGGAAGGAAGGAGGTAAAGGAAGAGAGAGAGAGAGTAATCACTATAACAAAAAAATCCTTGCTTGGGTGAAAACTTTTTGCACAACTCTATTTTGTAACACTTGTAGTTGAAGTCCATATACTCAGGACTATCCATCCTGGGGGTGGGTAGTGGAGGTGGGAGCAAAATTACTCAGAGACCTGAGTACCTAGCAAACCACCCAGCCTCTTGATGTCTTCCACCAGAAGACAGTGGACTGATCAGAAAGGTACCAAGAATATTCAAATCCACAGGCACACACAAACATGTCTCTCCACCACAAATTTCCATACAGGTCACAGGAATGAATAAAAACAAAAAAGCCACCTTCTTCAATCTAGCCATCAGTCACCCATGGAAGAGGTTCTAAGCGATCTAACATCCAGATATGGAAAATGGGAACTAAATGGCTAACCTTGACTATGTGACACTGTTCCTGCTTAGGAACAAGGAGAATGTACTGCCCACAGACCTCTCTCGAAGGTGCCAAAGCTGGCAGCAACTGGGGCTAAGCCCAGAGGGTGCTTAGCATGGAAGCACCCACTCGCATCCTCATTTCAGTAAATTGTTTCTGTACATGTCAAACTTTTATGACCCCAAACTGTTTTTTTCCAAAGCACATTTAAATATCAAAGACTCTTCATTTTTATTTCCAATCATGTGTTTACTGATTTAGCTTCCTTGCTCTCCTCCCCTCAGATAGGCCATGATCTGTAAACAGGCTGAGAATAATGAACCTTGTGTTTAATCATCTAGCTAGAAACAGCCTCAGCAGATCTATTTTCTGAATTTAAATATCCACATGTTGAGATTTCTTGAAACCTGTACACTGAACCTCACAAAATTATAACTACTGTTAAATATTTGCACGTTTGATAGGAAATAGAGTCAAGTCCACTCAGGACTGACTCAGACATTTAGAAAACATTTGGATAAGAGCTCTCCTTGAAAAATTACAAGTAAACAGTGGTGAAGCAAAATATGTAAACAAAGATTTCTAGGAAATCATCCGTAGCTTCAACTTTCTGAAGGGTTTCTGTCTGGCTCACTCTCCCATATGGCTCTTTAAAATTTCCATAACAGAGTCACATTTTTCAGGTTTGTTCTTCTATAGAAATAATATAATTTGTGTTGGGTGTCTGCATGTATGTAATTTAAGAATGTCTATGTATTATATATGTATATACTATAAGTTTATATATGATACGTTTGTGAATATATATATAATCTCCATAGTATTGTCTAAAAGAGCTCTTACAATTCAAGTAAAAGGTACACCAGCTGAAGAAAATAGATAATCCACAAAAGTAATCCTAAGGTGCAATAAATACATAAGATGTTCAATTTATTATTAAGAAAAGAAATGGGGAAAAAAACTACTGAAAAGTACAGAAATTTTGCATGTCAGATTCTAACGGTATGACTTCACAGTGTGTGGTGGTGCCGGAAAAGAGGGTTTTGAACTAGCATAGCTCCCCGGAGAGAAGTTTAATAATGTGGAGCAAAAGCCATAAATGTGCTCAGAGCCTTTGATCCAATAATTCTACTTTTAGGGATGTGACTGAAGAATAAATCATACACACACCCTACGACTTACTAGAATGATACTTATTTTAGCTATGCAAATAATAGTGGAAAGTAAGAAACTAACAAATGCCTCAAACCAGGGGATTTTAGTTAGACACAAGTGTAATACACAATGGAATCCCACGTTGGGAAGGATGTTTAAAGAGGTAGGGGAATAATCGCAATATAATTTTTAGTGGATAAAGGAAAAATACAAGCCATTAAAAATACCATTTTTATTTAAAAACATGTTTTTAAATATCACTTTTTAAAAGTAGATGTTTACACACACAAAAATCCCAACGTCTCTGGCTGGGGGAATTCTGAGTGAGCTCTGCTGTCTTCATTGTGCATTTTTCCCATCTTCCATCTTTATAAAAGGAACTCATATGTTTAGAAAAAATACATATACAATATAAAATATCGTATACAATAGAATTTAAAATTTTAAATATATGTGGCAGAAGAAAATAAAAATCCCTAATCTTGCATTCCTAAAATTTAATTTATCAAAAGAGAAGGAAAATGAAAGAAGGGCAAGAAAGAGGAAGCTGTTACCATTTATCAAACACTTAATATGGGGCAGGAGCTCATGTGAGCAACCCTGCTGGGACACCTTGCTCAGACGGGCAGCTGAGCTGTCGAGGGGTCAAGGCAGCTTGCACGGGACAAGACAAGGATGCTCCACAGCCTCACTTTGGATTTTTGGCTTTTTTTCCTCAAGTTAAAATACTTTTTAAAGATTTATTTATTTAAGAGAGAGAGCAGGAGTAAGGGGCCGGGGGACAGGAAGAACGAGATTCTCAGGCAGACCTCTTGCTGAGCTCAGAGTCCGACGCCGGGCTCCATCTCACGACCCCGAGATCATGACCTGAGCTGAAATCAAGAGTCAGACGCCTAACCCACTGAGCCACCCAGGCGCCCCTTAAGTTAAAATATTTTAGAAGTGTTACCTTATACAGTGATGTTCTATTGGCCAGTTTTGAATAGTATGTGTTTTGTTTACAGTTTACATGCAAAGATTTTTGAACTTCCACAGTTTTACTAATTAGTTGTTTTTCAGCAAAACAGCTGTGTTTACTTTTTCCAATGACATTTAATTTCCATTCATGCGTATCATGTCTATGAAACAAAGGTTTAAAGGTATTTTATAATTAGTACAGAGACTTTGCGAATACCACCTTTTAGTAACCAATCCAACCAGTGAAAACCTTTCCTTATTTTTGTATAAAGAGGCTCATTCACTGATGCCCAGACCATGCTCTGCCCCATTTTGGTTCAGTGCAGCAAGAAATTTAACAATTGTCATGGGACAAGGGTAAGGGGCTGTGAAAGAGAAAAACCTCAGCAGTCCTACACACACACACACACACACACACACACACACACACACACACACACA